TCCCTGTTAATTGGAATGTCAAGTGAGAAATAATTTGTTTTTTAAATAAAAAAGAAACTATCCTTGAAAAATTCCCAATAGTGCCTATTTCTCAGTTACAAAAACAAAATATTAAGGTGCTTTGGAGCAGATTTTTTATCTTTCAAAAAAATCGTTTGAATGTCCTTTGTGTGACATTTAGGCATTTGACTGGGAAAATGTGATTGTGTACTGTTAGGCTTGAGAAAATGCAGCCAGAGGATATATCTATCAGTGCGCCTGCTAGACACCTTATATTTTGGGAATTGTACTACAATTTCTGCAAATTGTCCTTTCTATCCATGTAGATGCAATGAGAGTTTCTATATTCATCAATATCCCCATGTATACTTAAATTCCCTGATGCCTAATAAAAAGGATAAATTTGGGAGTAGCTCATATTTTAGGATATAAAAGTGAGGAGTTGTCAACAGCCATGTTTTCTGCTGCTGGAAAAAGATGGTCATTAATAGTAATAGAAACAAAAAGAAAAGAACAGAGAAGAAAAGTAATTAAAGACTATGCTCGAATTCCAGATAGTTTTTATCTGAGGCCCTTCACATTTGTCTGTTTGCCCCATTAACAAACAAGGATTACTATAATTGATTCACTTATAAGTAAGTAAAATGGATTTGGGCTTCGGTTACCTGTACCCCAAAAAGTCTTAGCCAATACATCTACTTATCTGTATACTCCTTGGTATATGAATCTTATTCTCCCTAGGGATATACAGGCAAATCTACAGAGTAAACAGAGCCTCCTGAGATTAAACAGAGTGAAGTCATCACTTCTTTTTTTTTTTTTTTTTTTTTTTTCCTGAGGTGCAACATTATTGAAACATTTCTGTTGGGTTGAAGTGGATATTCTGATGTCAGTTAGCAAGAAAAGATAGCATAATAGAGAAGGAAATTTGAATGGATGACCAAATTTCAGCCTAGGATGACCTTGGATCTTTTTTTTTTTTTTTTGTCTAGGAACTGGATAAAATATAAGACAATTATAGCACTGTGAAAATTTCTTTGAAAAAATTACTGTGAGGGCCTGTTGTTGCCAGGGTGAGTGGGTCCATCTTGGCACAGCGTCATTGGGAGCTCAAGCTCAGGGTGAAATAACTGAATCACATATAGCACAACGGTGGAGAGAGATTTCTTGTTATTCCTTACCTTAAAAACTATTACCAGAATAGTGGCACATGCTGGTAAATACAACAAATGAGGGCCTAGTATCAGATTGTGGAGGAGCTTATGTTTTCAACAGCAGTGAGGCAGCAACATCAGCAAAGCAAAAGAGAATGGGAAGCACACATGAAGACTGAGTACTACTTAGCTTATGTAGTTTTCTTCTCTGTACAATGCTTGTAACTGTGACACTCTGAACTGGGGAAAGCTCCAAGGGTAGATGGACCTACAGTCAGAATGTACAGTTATATTAGGAGAGAACATTTCTCTCAGTTGTGTGGTAGGCACTCAGGTCATTTGAATTGATATCCAACAATGATTACACTGATTACAAATGGTGAAATTCAGATGCACAATTTGTCATAAAATATGTCAAATATTGACATAAATATGACAATATTTATGACATAATATTAACAGAGATATGACATTTTAAAATATGTCAAATATGTTGCCACTTTATGGATCAAATAACAATCCATGTAGAAATAAAGACTACCATAAATTCATCAATGTATTATAGTACTGACTTCAGGCAATGTGGCTATGTGGACTTTCTTCTACCATTTACTTTTCCACTTTAAAATAATTTTATAATCAACATGAATAACTTAAAATGGGAAAACATTTAAAACTTTTTAAATACAGCATAACGTTTAAAATTAATACTTTAATAAACAGGGTTTTCTCAGAAAAAGTTAACCTCAAAGCTTTAGTGACACTCACCTTTAAATATCTATGCATGATGAATATCACAAAGAAAATATCCTGAAAGTAAAATATACTATAAAATGAGAATTTTGATGATGTCAATGCTTGTCAAATTCTGTGTCGTATTATTTTCTTCCACAAATAAACTAACATGACATTTTAACCAGTAGCCTCAGAGAGATTAGTGCTGTCTGGGTGAGTCCCAAGCAAAATATGATCATTTAAAAATAAACATATTTAAAAAATAAATGTTTACTATTTTTGAAACTATCACTATGTCAGCATGTTGTCTTTTATGGAATCTGATCAAGTACTATTCACTGTCAAACAATACTAGTTGTCAAACTTTGCTAATAGCATATATTATGGAAATAGTTTAGCTGTAGAGCTGTTAACAGCTGTCAGACACAAATATATCATCAGATTATTTAACTTGAATGTGGACTATGCCTATTAAAGTTTAAGTTTAATCTTTATAACATTAAGGACTCTTTTGATCTAAGTGACAGAAAAGCAAATCCAAAGTGTTTAAGCAAAAAATAATTTTTGATATATGTAAATTAAAAATCTGAGGATGTATCTATCTGTATGTTTTTTTCTTAAACCAGGAAGAACCTAGTCTCTCTTCTTCATATCTATCTACTTTCCTCTGTGCCAATTTCATTCTCTGACATCCTTGCTCCTCATTCTGGCAACATAGCTACATCTTTATAACTCCAAGTTCAGTGGGAAAGAGGAAGCTTTTTCCCTATGAATATGCATAAAAGCCCAGGGCCTGATTCGCACTCCAAATCTGTCACAAACCCATCACTGAGTGGATCACTGAAATCAGAAGATAGATATAGTGCAGATTCGCCTAGGTTTTGACATGATAGCAAAACTCTCAAATCCAAAGGGCTTAAACAACAATCTTTGCATCTGTCGTGACCCTCAAAGGTAGGCTGCTTCTTGGTCATTCTTATTCTAGGACTGATAGGGCAGCCACTACTTGGTTGCTATCACAGTGCCAGAAGAAAGACCTTTGGATAGACCCATATTAGCAATTAAATGCTTGGCCTCAAAGTGACACATTTTTTTTTTTTTTTCATTCACATCCATTTACTGGCACTAATCACTTGGCCCGACTCAACCACAGGGGCCAGAAAGTGTAATCCTATCATGTATTCATATCAGGGCAAAACTGGATATTCTGGTGAACAGCATTAATAAATAACAAATGCATTCTTTGGCTTAGGTTATGTGACCACTGGTCCTGGGGGTAGGGACAGCTCCACCACGCTTGGGAACCTGTGAGTCTCCACAGAAAGTTTAGGTTTCTGACAGAAAAAAAGTGCATGTTTGCTATCAGAAAAAAAAAATACATTTAAGTCATTTCTAGTAAATGATCAACATTCTGGATTCAGTAAGAGTGTAACTTCCTGTGTGAATAAATTATTAACTTCCCAGTGTTACAGAATTTACTGTATCTGTATTTATAACCCAACAGCCTAAAACTAAATGTTGTTTTGTCCCCTAAGCTCCTAAGTTTAATCTAGCTGATCCCCTGAAGTAACCAATGCAGAGTAAGAAGTTTTCAGGTAGCATAATTAGACTAGGTATGTTTTCCTCCAAGATGTTCAGTTATTAGGGACTTTTCTTCCTTTATTTGTAAGGAACAAATTTTCACTTAAACAAATTCAAGAAAAGTTTATTGTGAGGCTACAATAGTTAACCTCTGCTTTCTCCATCTCTAGGACTATGTGGACTCTCTCCTCTTGACTTTTCTCCTTTTCTCTGTTAACATCTATTTTTCCTTCCTGAATAATCTTTCTTCTTAATTTTCATTGACCAAGGTACTACAGAAATGGGATTATGACAAGTTCCAGTCCCTGGGCCATTTAGTCAAATTCCAAAGATAATCAAACTAACTGGCTGTTGGAAATTGGTATACTGTTAGTCACATAAGCTACGATTGGGAAAAAATATCACACGGCACATACAGCGAATTTTTTCAGGACCTTTGGGTAGGGCAGGCTACACAAGAAGGAAATTTGTTCAAGTAAGCAAATCGGCTTTGCCTGCAGTTGGAAGTAGGGTTAGAATATGAGTACTACTTGTGCTCACTGCAAGTGCTTTACAAATATTAACTCATTTAATCCTATGATGTTGGTACTTGTATTAGTCCATTTTCATGCTACTGATAAAGGCATACCCAAGACCTCTTTTTTGTAAAGAAAAAGAGGTTTAATGGACTCACAGTTCCACTTGGCTGGGATGGCCTCAAAATCATGGTAGAAGGTGAAAGCCACGTCTTACATGGCAACAGGCAAGAGAGAATGAGAGCCAAGAGAAATGGGAGACCCCTTTTAAAACCATCAGATCTTACGAGACATATTCAATACCATGAGAACAGTACTAGGGGAAACTGCCTCCTTGATTAAGTTATCTCCTACCAGGTCCCTCCCACATGGGAATTATGGAAGCTACAATTCAAAACGAGATTTGGATGGCGATACAGCCAAACCATATCAGTACTATTATTATTTTCATATGATAGGTAAGACAACAGATACAGAATCAAATAACTTGCCCATGATCATACAGTTCATAAGAGGCAGAGCCAACCAGGGCTTGAAACGGAGCAGCTTTGCTCCTGGATTTCTGCTCTAATCTTTTTTTGCTATACAACCACTCTTTGCTATCCTTGAGCATCCGGGTTTACATCAGTGAGTTTATTAATGTTTTTGGATACTCTCTTAAACCTATTTTGCTGGTTGCAAAAAGCTTATCGTTCTCCAAAGCTCATCTCAAATATTAGCATTTTCACTTGGCAAGCTTCCTGAGCCTCTTCCTTCTGCTTCTAAACCACCCTATACATTTCTTTAATTATCACACAGATTTCCTTGTGCTGTAATCAGATAATACTGTGTTACTGTGTGCTTCTGTAGGACAAGGGTTATATGGTTTGATCTCTGTATTCCTGATGCAAAGCATAATTACTGGCACATAATTGTTATATTATTCACAATGAAAGAATGAATGCATTAAATAAGATTCACACCATGTAAATTATATGTAAATTGTACCAATATCACTTTTGTTACCATTTTATAGGACAAAAGGTGCCTCCATAAGAAAATCTGGAAAAAATACCTCTGAATATTTGAAATTACTGGGATTCAGAAGCCAAGACAGTGGTTGGTTTGGGCTTGAGAATGTCGTTGTGAAAACCATACAGAGCGGCTTGGTATCAGTTGAATTGTATGAACATTTAGAGAGGTAACAGAATTGAAAACCATCAAAGGTGATGATACAGTTGTGACCTTATGGTCATAACTGGTGTTCATAGAAATGGAATAGTAAGATTACATTTTTATTCTTCAAATAGAAATATTAATTGTTCTTTAGAGGGTGCATAAAATGTAAAACAGAATTGACATGGCTATGCTATCTGTAATTTCATTCGTGATAGTTAAACAAGTGATTTTGGAAAACGCTCATAACTAAAGTTTATTTTAACAGGTTTCTGCTAACTCCAAAATAGTTTTAAAATGTTCATTTTGAAATTCCATGGAGATAGTAATTAACTGTTCGTATTACGCATATCTCATAACTATGTATAGATCAACGGAATTTGCTACTTCAGTGCCCTCATTTTGCTTTCTCATTTCCATGTTCTCTAGACAGCCCATTATGAGAAGAGTTTTGGACAGATTTAAGGTTCAAGAAGAGTAGCCACTCATAAAGAGAGGTGATGATATATCTCAAAATAGCCTTTATTTCATAATGGGAGGTTTTACATTTATGATTGTCTTGAATCCAGTTTCCTAGGAATAGAGCCTGATATGAAAGGCAAGCGATTTATTGAGAGAGAGAGCTCTTGAGTGAATCCCGCAGGGCAAAGGTGGAAGACGGAAAAAACAGTGGTTTCAGGTGAAGTATGTCTGTAGCCTGACACCTCCGGGGAGCTCTGCAGTGCCAGTACCAAGGCAGCTGGCTTTATATCCCCACATCGTTCAGTGCTTGTCTATGGGTATGGGACTGCTCTGGGTGAAGGTCACTTCTAGGCCAAATCATTGGAGAAGAATTTGAGAATGGGCAGCCGAGTCCAGGGAAAGTGTTCTTATTAGTTTGTTTAGGCTGCCGTAACAAAGTACCACACACTGGGTGGCTCAAACAACAGAAACTTATTGTTTCACAGTTCTGGATGCCAGAAGGACAAAATCAGGGTACTAGCAGGGTTTGTTCTTTCTGAGAGTTGTGAGGTAAGGATCTGCCCAGGCCTTTCTTCTTGTAGATCACCGTTTTCCTGGTCTCAAGGTGTTTTCTCCCTTCGCATTCCTATGTGTTGAAATTTCCCTCTTTTATGACAGTAGTCATACTGGATTAGGGATGACCCTAATGACCTCACCTTAACCTGATTACCTCTGTAAAGTCCCTATCTCCAAATAAGGTCAAATTTTGAGGTACTAGGGGATAGTACTTCAACATATGAATGTATCTGTGAGTGGGGAGGATGAAAAATAATGCAACCCCTACCAAGGTCCATCCTAACGATTCTGATCCTTACCACGTACAGACACAGATGCATATTTCAATCCCCATTTAATTATGGTATATCTTCTGCATCCTATGGAGAGTCAGTGAATTACTGTACTCATCTTTCTCTTCTATATTTTAAAGATGCTCTTTTGTAATTCTAATTAAAATATAACTTAAAATATGCTGCCATGTTTAGAGCTGAGCTGAGACTATATGATTTCTTTGTTTAAGAATACGTTTTAGAATTTAGTTTGATTTGAGCTGTTTTCTTTTTTGTTTATTTCTTGTTTTAATAGAGATTGAGTTTTGCCATGTTGCCCAGGCTGGTGCTGAACTTTTAGGCTCCAGCGATCCACCTTCCACAGCCTCCTACAGTGCTAGGATAGCATGAGCCATTGTGCCCAGCCAGAGCTGGTTTTTTGATGGCTAAGAGTTTCTTTACAATCATTAATGAATCTAACCTGTTGGCTTTGAGAATACTTGATTTTAAAAGACATTTATTTGAAAATGACTCTTTTCTTGGTTGTTATTGTATATCAGTGATGTTCTTGAAATTGCATTTTTCCCTTGGGTCTCACCTCTTTCTTCCATGCAGGTTTATTGTACTTCACCTCTCTTCCACCATGGACAATAGTCATTTGGTTACTTTTGTGAAATCTTTAGAGGAAGCCATGCTAAGCACCACTGCCTGCATAGTACTGTCTCACCAGAAGGACAATCCACATAGAATAGCTGTTTTAGTGGTACCTTCTAAAGATTTAAGCCAGGTGCTTAAGAATCTGCGCTTGGAAGGGTTTGGGGGACCTCCAGAGCCATCTCACCATTTCCAAGTTCGAGAGGGAGAACAACTTCTTTTAAGATTTACTGGAAACATATTTGCTTCAAGTAAGTATAAAGACATTTTTAAATATATTTTATGGGCTATAAACCACAAGTTCTTCAGAAGAGTTTGCTAAACTTGTGTTACTAAGGAACCTTCAGAGGATTGACAAGGGACTTCCTGAAGTAGGAAAAAAAATAGACTGATTTATTATACTTCTTCCATTCCCATTTCTTTATTCTCTACTTAGGGAATGCATGTTCCTTTATGGGAAGATTCTAAGTGACACTTTTTAGAAATAGCCTTCTCCATAGTTACTATATGAGTCCAAGCTAAAAACATCTCTTTCTTACAACAATAAAATTGTCTTCTAAGTGCTGCCATTATTGGCCACATGAAATTAATTACCATGTGTTAATAAGAATGATCATTTAAAAACATAAATCATACTATATATTACCAGTGATTACAGTCTTATTTTTACCTCCTATTCTTTCTAAAATAATACATCCAAACTCTTCAAGGTGTTCTACAAAGAATCTAACCTGGGGTCAGTGGACTCCCAAAGGATGGGTGAGTAGATCTGCATTTCAGTGTAATTGCCATATTTGTAATCCCATGTATTTTATTTTATATTTTTAAAAGACTATTCTGAGAATCAATGGACAGTTTTCACCAAATTTGAAAGGAGTCTATGGCAAATAAAATAAAATAAATTAAGAATAATTTGTCAAGGCCAGGCGCAGTGCTCACACCTGTAATCCTAGCACTTTGGGAGGTCAAGATCAGGAGTTCGAGACCAGCCACCAACATGGTGAAACCCTGTCTCTACTAAATTTTTTTTTAAAAAATTAGCTGGGTGTGGTGGTGGGTGCCTGTAATCCCAGCTACTGGGAGGCTGAGGCAGGAGAATCACTTGAGCTCAAGAGGCAGAGGTTGCAGTGAGCTGAGATTGCACCACTGCATTCCAGCCTGGGTGACAGGGCGAGACTCCATCTCAAAAAAAAAAAAAAAAAATTGATCTAAATATCTAAATGGCATACTTTGCTTACTTCTTTTCCCATATTTATCTACTGCTATTTTTGTTTTCACTCTAAATCTTATCACAATTAGGAAGTATTTAATTACTTTGTTTTTTGTTCATACAGTTATGCTGTGTCCTTTACCCATCACTGGAATGAAAACTCCATGAGGGCAAGGACCATGTCTTTCTTGTTAATATATCCTCCAAGCCTAACATAGAACCTGGTATATCCAAAGCTTTTTTTTTTCTTTACAAAATGTTTCATTTTTTATATCAACCCACATAAACATTGATACGAGTAATGTATTGGCAGTTAATGTACACTTTAATCAAATACACTGAAGCAATATCATTGACTGATAAATAAACTATCATCTTCATTTTCTTTTTTACAATGTTTGACAGACTTATGTCTAGAGGATGAGTTCAACAATGAGTTTTTCAGCCCTTGCAGTCTCTAGTGTCTCTTGCTGCCATCTTTATGTCTATGTGCATCTAATCTTTAGCTCCCACTTATAAGAATGTGCAGTATGAGGTTTTCTGTTTCTCCATTAATTTGCTTAGAATAATGGCTTCCGCTTGCACAATGTTGTTGCAAAGGACATGATTCTGCTCTTTTTTTGGGTTGCATGGTATTCCATGGTATATATGTACCACATTTTCTTTATCCCCAGTCTACCCTTGATGGGCACCTAGGTTGATTCCATGACTGTACTATTGTAAATATTGCTGCAATGAACATGCAAATGCATTTGATAAATGTATAGTGAATGAATGCATATATGGCAGTGATGAAGAAAGCAAGCAGGATGATGAATACAAGAGGTGGCAGGAGACATTAGAGAAGTGAAGGAATCGATGAGACTAAAGAGATCAAAGGAACGAAGTGAAGAGAAGAGGAAGAAAAAGAACATGAAGAGAAAACCGCTGTGTGGGAATAGAGAGCAAAAGTTCTTTGAAAGGGTTGTCATCACAGCAATTTTTTTTTTCACTAAGTCAACACCTTACTCTTTCTAACTTCTTGCCCTGTGGTGGAATAGAATCTAACAGGTGTGTTTGTGAAAGTGAGGTGAGAAGGAAAATTAAGGACAGTTTTTTTGAAGATTTCTGGCCCAGGAGGTTTTCTTCACACTTGACTTGAGGGGATGTGCTCTGTTTATTTATAAATTAATATGGATTCCATTTAATTTTCTTATGTCGATTTTCTCTCTGAATCAGGAAATAGCTCCAAGCCTCATTGGTTCTTTTTTTTGCTTCAAAAAAGGGACAAGGTGTGAAGCTGATGCTGCCCTCCTCACTTTTTTGAAATCTCAGGAATAAGTGAGACCTAAAGTATCCCGATTTTAAGTGCCTCACATACAGGATCTCTGTATCAGAGCCAGCTTAGTGAGAAAATGACAAGGATGGCAGAGAAGCGGGCAGGGAAGAGAGAGGAGGGAGAGGAAGGAAGGATGAAAGAGGCCCCTTCCTACTTGGCTTCCGGAGTAGAAACCACACTGTCCACCCTGGAGAAATCTCTCTAATGAGGCATAGTCAACAACCAGAAGTGTCCCACCCAAACCAATGATGCAACTGATTTTCCTGTAATACTGTGGACAGCAGCTGTATTTACCAACAACCCTAAACAGGAGTGCATTACTGTTCTACTCACAAGCAATGGTACTGAATATCCCATTGCCTGCAGCGGAGACTGGGGAGCACATGCTAAACCAAGAGCAGCCAAGGCAGCCGGCCCCTGTGCGATTCCTCCCTGTAAGGGATGGGGAAGTGTTCATCTTCATTTAAGGAAAATGAGTCAGGCAGGATGCCCAGATCTTTCTGCTTTGCTTTTCCTAAGGAGACAGGCTGAGATCTGGAGCCTGACTGGGTTTTTCTCTGTCTACAAGGAACAAGATCCTCAGTAAAAAATTGGTATCTCATCCTGATAAAAGAATTGATCCATCCTTTCATCAGAGCCTAGGGTTGTCTCTGTGAATACCAAAAAGATAAAGCTAGAGACTCTCTGACTAGAGAGTTCTCCTTGCCCTTCTGACCCCCACCCTCATGCCCACTTCTCTCCTGCTGTATCTTCAGATCTCACCTGTGATCACGTTCCAAGAAGCTATCCTTCCTGATTATGAGATCTGATTTTATTTTTTAATAGCTCTATTATACTTTTGCAGATCTTCCTTTTTCTATTTGGGGACTTTGTCACGTGCAGTTTTCTATTCATTCATCTAATTGTTTGACCAATGCCAGTTTCTCCTACCACAGTCCCATCCATGGACGCACTGTCCTGTTGGCAGGCAGCATTCAGTTAGAAGAAACTCAGCCCTTTGAAAAATGCCAAAATTTCTCTATTCACTTACATACTATATATATATATATATATATATATATATATATATATATATAATAAATATATATAATATTTATATATATAATATAATATACATACATAATATATATAATATATATTATATACATATATAATATATATAGTTATACAGAATATATAGTCATATATATATATGACTATATATTCACCTTTTCAGTGAAGGTCACGGGACATGTACTGTATTTCTATTTCTAACAGGAAGAAAGCTGGATAGGTGTGTCCTTTGGTTTTTATAATGGTTTTGGCAATCTTCTGGAAACAAGCTACAGCAAGCTTTTATTCTCTAGGTTAGAGTATTGTTGTCAGTTTAGCACTTAGATTTTTACATGATATCCAAGCCCCCACTGCACACAACTTCCAGAAAATGTTTTAATATGATTTTATATAATGACACCTTAGCATCGTCCATAACACCTAGTAATGCCCTGTGAGGTCTGTTTTTTAAAGTTGCCCTGAATACCCTTTGGCCTAGGGAAGTGATTTTTCTAGATATTCTATAGGATGTATCTCTACACCTATGTAATAACCATTCTTTAATTTGTTCAACAAAAATTTGTTGACCTTATGTATATTAAAGTCTAATGAAGAAAGACAGAGAATAAGCAAATAAGTAAATAAAATGCATAGCTTCATTTGGGCTGAAAAGTGAATTATAGAAAAATAAAGCAGGGAAAATATAGGGGGATCTTTGGGGTATAGCAGGCTTGTGGTTTTATTTCAGGGAAAATCTTTCTGGAAAGCTGACACTTAGAAGTCTCTAAGCAGGTGAGGAAGTAAGCCATAATCCTATCTGAGGGGAGTTTGTCCCAGGCAGAGGGATTGCCAGTGCCAATGAACTCAGATAAAATCTTACCTTGTGTGTGTGAGGAACAGCAGGAGCCTGAGATGGCTGGATCAGAGGGAGAGAGGAAAGGTTGTGGGAGAGGAGGTGAGAAGTGGTCGTGCCTTGCAGGCACTGGAAACACTGCCTTTTATGCTGAGTGACCTTGGGAAACATGAAGGGTTCTCAACAGAGAAGTGATCTGAGTTAGATTATAACTGTGTTGAGAATAGACTTTAGAGCAAGAGGAAAAGCAGGGAGACCCATTATTGTTTAATTGCAGTAAAGCAGGCAAAAAATGGCATGGCTTAGAGGTAGAGCTGGTGGGGAGTGGGTTAGAATATAGAAATACACTGAGTCAGTGGTTCTCATAGGGTTTTTCTGGTTTCCTGGACTGTAGCTCTTTCAATTTTTTTATCTGACTTTTCTTTTTTCTTTCTTTCTTTTTTTTTTTTTTTTTTTGAGACAGAGTCTTATTCTGTCATCCAGGCTGGAGTGCAGTGGCACATTCTCAGCTTACTACAACCTCCACCTCCCAAGTTCAAGTGAGTCTCCTGCCTCAGGTTCCTGAGTAGCTGAGATTACAGGTGCCCACCACCATGCCTGGCTAATTTTTGTATTTTTTTTTTTTTAGTAGAGATGGGGTTTCACCATGTTGGCCAGCTGGTCTTGAACTACTGATCTCAAGTGATCCACCTGCCTTGGCCTCCCAACGTGCTGGTATTACAGGTGTGAGCCACTACGCCTGGCCTATCTGATTTTTCTAAGCAAAAATATTTATTCTTACATTTGTTTTTCTATGTAATCAATGTAAAATATTAAATGTCCATTACTGAGAAGAAATATATTGCTGAAAGGGACATCTAATAATCCATATAAGTAAATTCTGAAATTTTTTTATATGACAAGTATTTACTAGGTAGCTACTATCTCAAGACAATTCTAGGGGCCTATATATGTAATATGTTTTCAAAAAGTCAACTAATGGTTGATTTTATACTTTGGGTATGGAATGAAGGAGTTTTGCTTTTTATTTCTCCTTTAAATATGCCAGTGAGGGAGAAAAAAAACATAGAGTAGTGAGATTTCTTCAGGTTGCTTCTTTTTTATGGATTTATTTTTTGTCCATAATAATATATTTTAAAATATATTATTATGCCTTAACAACAATGAAACTCCAACTTTAAAAAATTATATAATGTTTTTTGTTTATAACATGAAGATTATGCTATTTATTACTAGTAAATTGTCAATAACTTCATCCCTAGTTCATATGTGATCTTTGGAGAGTTGCCCTAGAGATCTTTATTTTTAAAAATTGCTATACATTTTACGTCTGAATTGAACCACTGTGGCCATATGTCACCCTCAATCCTTATATCCTGTGTATAAATCACTTTTTATGAATAATTGTCCACGTGGCAGGAAGTATAAGATCCTTCAAGGGATAGAAGGAGAAATTTACTAATTGGTATTCCACAGGAACTGAAGTAGTAAAATTTTTCTTGATAGCTCTCTAGTAGTATGCAAACAGAAGTCAGCTGGGTGCTACTCCAGTGAGCTGGAAACTCCAATTTACCTAATTTACTATTTAGAGAACATTTAAATGACCCCAAATAATCTACTTTTTTTTTTTTAAACTAAAGTGAGATTCTCTTAAGAAGGGAAACTCTGGCAAATTCCTCTCCTAGGGATCTGTTCTTTTTGTTGTTGTTATTACTGTTTTTCAAGTAGCCAGGTTGCCTCTCAAATAAAAACTTTGCAAAGGGATCTACTCCTACACCTTCTGTAATCTGGAGCTATTCTATTTCTAGATTTAACTGAGCTTTAGAAAAATCACCGAAGTTACCTCAAGCAGTCAAGACAGGCAGAAGGGTGGTGGTGTCATCTATATCTCTCAATGAAGCCTTTGTTCACCAGGCAAAATGAAAAGTTTTCCATGAGGGAGAACTCTGGGCAGTCAACTGTATGCTGTCCTACAGTAGGAGAAGGAAGTTTCCATGTCGACATAAAAGCTTCATCTTGGCCATGCAAATTGGCTCATGCCTGTAATCCCAGCACTTCAGGAGGCCAAGGAGACAGGATTGCTTGTCCTCTGGAGTTTGAGACCAGCCTGGGCAACATGATGAAACCCCATCTCTATTAAAAAAAAACAAAAAAACAAAAAAACAAAATTAGCTAGGCATGGTGGCACACATGTGTAGTCCCAGCTGCTTGGAAGGCGGAGGTGGGAGGATGGCTTAAGCTTGGGAGGTGGAGGTTTTACTGACTTGAGTTCATGCCACTTGTACTCACTCCAGCCCAGGTGACAGAATGAGATTCAGTCTCAAAAAAAAAAAAAAAAAAAAAAAAAAAAGCTTTATCTTGACATTTCTTTAAAAAGTTTGAGGGGTTTTTTTTTTTTTTTTGCATGCTAATTCAAAACAGTAGAAGAATCCTACCTCTTATCATTTGCTATTATTGCTGTCATTTATTGAGCACTTACTGTGTGCCAGGTCCTATGACAACCATTTTATCCATATTTTCCCATTTCCAAAACAATCCTAAGAGGTAAGTTTTATTTCTGCCTTTTTAAGGATAAAGAAGCTAAGGCTCCAAGAAGCTCAGAGATATGAAATTATAGACAAATATTAACAGACAAATATTACAGACTACACAAATGATAGAGACTGGACTTGAACTTAGATCTATACCTCCAAGACATATCAAGTGCTACATTATAGGTTTCTACAAATTTTACAAATGCTTATACAGACATTTATTTCCTTAGGAAACATGGTAGTGTTTATTCTACTGTTGAAATAACAAGGTAAAATATCCTAATTGTCATGGTAAAACCCCAATGAGTGAAAGGTTATATTCACAAAAGCTCTAGAATTTTTAGTAACTAGTTGATAAAACTTTTATATATTATCATTTTAGAAGAACCTGTCAGGTTTTGATAGAAATTTGGATAACTATTCAATAACAATTCATGAACAAAATTAGTAACTATTACACCTGAAGGTTCTAGAACAACATTGTCCATTTCCACAATTGTGGAATTGTTTTATATCTGTATTGTTCATTATGGTACCCATTATACCTACTCAGAAATTGAGACTTTTAAATGTGTTTAGACTGACTGAGGAGTTAAATTTAATTTTATTTACTGTTTATTAATTTTCATTTAAACCTAAGTAGCCACATGTTTTAGGAGAGTACAACTCTAGAATGTCTATTGTGAGGTCACAATATGAATAGTTAGGGGAAAGGAGAAAGATAATTTTCAAATGATGAAATGTTGCAAAAGCTGAATATTTCTAGTAGTTTCTGGTTATACAAAATATGGAATAGAGAAAGAAAAGCTAAAGAAACTTGATTTAGAAGCAGCCAGAGAGCACCTGGACCAACAACCTTTGAGAAATCTTTTGAGTAATCTACATGATCTCTGCCTATTGCTCCTTTGTCAGGTTATATTATGACAAAAGACAAGACAATGATACAAAAAAACTTCAAATGCATTTTTAAAATAAAATAATTATTTTGATGTTTAAAAATTAAGTAAGACAAAATGACACATCTTAATGATAACAAATGCATTTTACTCCTATCTAGGCAATGGGAAGGATTATGGAAAAGACTACACACTTATTTTTCACTTGCAAAGAAAACCTAGGCTGGAACTGCAAATCAAAGAAGTGGATGAATTTGGAAACTACAGCTGCCCTCATTATAAAGGCACCATTGTCGTTTATAAAGTACCTAAAGGAAAGATAGTCCCCAACTTGAATCAATCTCTCATAATTAATGAAAACCATTCTCAGTTGCCAATTTGCAAATTACCATTGAGATTGCCAAAGGTGAGTTATTTTACTTTTCTAATTACTATATTTTGTTAATTATTTATAATGCTGTAACACAATCAGTTTTGCAGGCATAGAGAAACATACAGTTGAAAGAAAAGGTAAGAGTAGGGTTAATAAAGAAGGAGTAGGCAGGTCTGATTTTAGATTTTTAGGCCCAATTCTAGAGTATTAGAATACATGTTAGGATTTCTTCTTTTCTCATATCAGCCTGTCTATCAAGAATACTTCAGATTGTTCTGGTCCTCACAGCATGTTGTTGCTAACTATGAAAATAGTGTCATTCATTTTCTGTAACAGCATCTGAGTCACTGGGAAATTATTTATGAAAAGAATACATTCCAGAGCACATCGTTTCAAGGCAAAGTCATGGTGAGGAAAAAAAGTGACCTCAGAATATTTACAATGAAACTTACGAGATTCTGCATGTTTGCCTCATCAGTTATGCGTGCCTGAAATTCTTACTCATGTCAGAAAGTAGTAGTATTTCTTTGAACATGTCAAACATAAATAAATATATTTTATTGCTGTATATTACAATTTCAATGACATAGTGCTTCTCTAAATGAATTTATAATCCAGTGGATAAGTACACAAAACATATACACAAAATTACGTTGCAAGATAGTAACAGATTGGAGTTACATTTAGATTATATGAACAGTGGTACTAATAGTTGATACTAGATGATAGTAACAGTTGTTCAGAGAAGAGAAATGGCTTTTCTACAAAATGTTTGTGGCATTTTATCTGCACTTTGTAAGTTGCTGGATTCAGTTGGTGGAAAAGCAGAAAAAAGGCAAGTTAGAGGGAGAAAATAGAATGCATTTGACTGGGGTGGTCGGCATAGCTTAGCAGGAATTCACAGTTTGTGTAATAACCATTGTAATAATGACTAACGTGCCAAAGGCCTTTCAAATACTTTACATGCATTGTATCATTAAATCCTCAAAAAATCCTACGATACATAGTTGTTCTTATTTTTATGATAAACTGAGGCACAGAAATTTTAGGCCACCTGCCCAGGTTCTCATAGCTAAGTGAATGGCAGAGCTAAAATTGAGACCCAGGAAACCTGCTTCCTGCGTGTTGAACAGCTATTATGCCGTCACTTGGTTAGCACATGATGCTAGAATTGTTAGTCAAAGATACGAGGTGGATTTTAGGGCATCTAGGTTCACCTTTGACAGTGTGTGACAGCTATACTATGCTTTTGTATAAAGATAATATTAGAAATATTTAACAAATGATGTGACCTGACACCAACCGGTCAAATTGAAAGCAGCCCACAGTGGAGAGGAACACGTTCTAGATGACACTGACTTTATTTGCTGGTTTTGGGGGAGATCCCATGGTCCCTGGGTGGTATGCGTAAGTAGAGGAATTTATTAAGCCACTGATACTAAAAATTACACTTAGATGACAGTATAGCCAAACTGGTATACATCTGCTGTCAGTTTTACTTCTGGGCATTTTCATTTCTACCATAAGACTCTGCACCACACGGCTGTTACCTATGCATGGGGCACTTTTCCCTGATATAGTCTCATAGCTGCTGCTTCCTCATTCAAGCCTCAGCTCAGATGTCACTTGTTATTCTTATTCCCTTATCTCCTAGTCTGAAGTCACTTTTTAACTTGTTACCCTTTTTCTATGTACTTCCTAACACTCATCACTGATATGTTTAGATTCATTTAATTGTTCATGTATTTTCTATTTTCCTTTGCTTCTTTAAAAAGCAAACTCCATGAATGAAGGATTCTGTCTGTTCTGTCCAGGTTCCTACTTCTGTGATAGAATAGTGCCTGGCACATAGAAAGCACCCTCATTATCTGTGACTTGGTGAATAAGGGGGCGGGGGGGTCTATAGCTTTCTTTAAAAGTTTAAGAACTATTGACTTGAAGGAATACTCAAATTCTCTCTGTTTTGTAGTTTAGAGCCTGATCCTGCAAACTCTTAACTGGCAGGCTGAGGCATTGATGCGGATGGAGTGGAGAGGTGTAAGGGCCGCTCTCCAGGAAGCTCAGTTGACACGTTACTTCCAAAAAGCCCCATGTTGCTCTGCTGCTATAAGAGGCTGAAAGGGAGACAAGCCAGGGATGGTGGAATTCTCTGGCAAGAGATAGTAAGTGCCTTACTGGGATGATGACAGACCATGGAAAGAAAGATCCTTATGTAAGAGAGGACAGATGTGAAGTCCAAAACTGTGATAGGAATTCATCTTTCATTTATTAGTGTTTTCTCTGTTGACCTGACTTTATAAAATTAGCCAAATTAGTCAAGCCAAATTAGCCAATTAGCTAAGGTAGATAATTTAGGGTTTTCCATAGATTTTCCTCAATAAAAGCCTGTGTTTACAATTGTCCAGTACGTTTGCATCAGCTTCTTCTCTGCTTTGATTCTGGCACACCACTCCCTACCTACCAGCCTGAGCAATTGTTCCTGAACCTTTCATATCGGTGCTTAAGTGCAAGCTCTCCAAGGAAGCCTTCCCTCACTTTTCCTTTGTACCGGGTTAAGTGTCCCTGCTATATGCAGCTAAAGCACTTTGTACTTTCCTTTTCACTGTAGTTACCATATTTCATGACAATCACTTGCTGGTTTCCTTCCCTTGCTGTTGTAATGGCTTCTTGGGAAGTCTATTTTTAAAAATATTTTTTTCTAATCACCCCTCCCTGTGAAATTTTATTATCATAGATATACTGTGTGTCTGTTTATGTACTATATATTGATCTGTGTGTTATACATCTAAAGGAGTAAGTCTTTTTGTGTCTCACCCAAGGACGAATTTTCTCTCCCGGGGTGACATTATCAAAACTGAGAATGCAGGCAATGAACTGCACAGGCACGGACACTGTCCTGCTCAGCTCTGTATGGCCAGGGCAGACAGATCGTACATGCTTGATAAATATTTGTGACTACTGAGATGAGCAAGATAATTTCTGCACACCTTACGCTTACTCAACCTTGAAATCGATAATCCTGAAATGATATTGGCATATTTTAAAATAGTACATTTAAACGTCTGCTGCCTTTCATAGACGAATCTACTGCCAATATACCATCTGTGCTTTCTTCTTATCCCAGACGGGTTTGTACAGGGCTTTCCAGATTCACTCTCTGAACCCTTTCTTGTGCCTAAAGTCTTCAGAAATAAGTTTGTCAGGTTGAAACAGAATCTGTGGCTGTGGGAACTTTTTGCTTTTCAAACTAGTATAACAAAATGGGAATTGAAACCATGACCTTTATTTTGCAAGATGAGACTTATTTCATAACGTTCAGAATTTAAAAAATTCACCTCAACTAAGCAGTATTAGAATGTGCTATTTTTCAGAAATGGAAGTAGCCCAATATAGCAGTAGCTTGGCATTAATGAACATGACACTATATGGATATTTATACATATAGCATAAAATAGGTGAAGGTATTTGTGAAAATTAAAAGTGCTTTACACACAGAGAACAAGCAGCAAATATTTACATTTGTGTGTATAGGCACAGAACCACACACATAATTAAAAAGTGTCATGTTAATATACTGTGTCTGATTCATAAAGATGAGAAGACATATTACTTTTTAGTTCATACTTGGGAGGATCTCTCTTCTCTTATTCTTCAGAGTCTATAGTTCATTCATTCATATATTAATTAATTCATCAAACAGTGTATCCCAAAGGCTCAGTATATAGTGGTATTCCGGTATGTAGGGTCTTATTATTCCCTTTCCTTTTTATAGCATGTTTTCAACCCAGAGGCAGAGTTCTCTCTTAAAGCAGGAGTCCCCAGTCCCTGGGCCATGAAATGGTAGCAGTTTGTGGCCTGTTAGGAACGAGGCTGCACAGCAGGAAGTGAATAGTGGGCAGGTGAGCAATGCTTCATCTGTATTTACAGCCACTCAGCATTGCTTGCATAACTGCCTGAGCTCTGCTCCCTATCAGATCAGTAGTGGCATTTGATTCTTGTAGGAGAGCAAACCCTATTGTGAACTGCACCTGCAAGCGATCTAGGTTGCATGCTTCTTATGAGAATCGAATGCCTGTTCTTCACTGTCTCCCATCACCTCCAGATGGGACCATCTAGTTGCAGGAAAGCAATCTCAGGGCTCCCATTAATTCCACATCACAGCATGTAATTACTTGATTATATATTATAATATAATAATTATATAAATAAACTGCACAATAAATGTAACTTGCTTGAATCATCCCCAAACCATTCCTCCAACACAGAAAAATGTTCTTCTATGAAATTGTTTCCAGGTGCCAAAATAGTTGGGGACTACTGCCTTAAAGTATCAGTCAAATTGTCTCATGCTTCTGCTCCTTCAGTGGCTCCCAGCTTCTGTGTCAACTTGGCCCTCACTGACTCCAGGGCCTTCTCTACTTTACTGTCCTCCTCACTTAGTCAACCACAATGGTCTTGAGTTTTTGGAATATGCCACACCTGCTTCCACTTTTGGTCTTTGTTAGTGATTCCTCATGCCTGGAGTATTCTTCCGTCAGATACCTGCATGTCTATTACCCTTGCCCCTTTCACTTCTTCACTGAAACTTCACCCTCTCTCTGTGGTTTACCCTGATTCTATTTAATGTTGCAATCTACTCTTACCCCTACAACCTGACACTCCTAATCCTCTTTAATCTGCCCTATTTTTTTTTCCTCTAAACCATTTCTCCATTTTTACATGTACTTCTTCATTTGCAGATTTCTTGTTGCAAAACCCTCTATTCCATAACTAGAATGTAAACTCCGTGAAGACAGGGAACATTTTTTTGCTCACTGCCAAATCACAAGTACCTAGAATGGTGTCAGGCATGTTAGATGCTCAATAAACATGAGTAATGGGTATTTATAAACAGAACTTGCATTTTATGGACCAAAAATGTGAGAAGGAACATGAAAAGTACCAAGGAAGAAAATAAATTAGCATTAGAGGATGGACAGAATTGGTGGTGTGAGCTGGTAGGTGGGATGGCCAGGGAAGACCTCACTGCGGAG